CTTTGTGAGAAGAAAGTCTTAGCACCATTACTGTGGGCCAGACCCTTAGCTTTGTGAGAAGAAAGTCTTAGCACCATTACTGTGGGCCAGACCCTTAGCTTTGTGAGAAGAAAGTCTTAGCACCATTACTGTGGGCCAGACCCTTAGCTTTGTGAGAAGAAAGTCTTAGCACCATTACTGTGGGCCAGACCCTTAGCTTTGTGGGAATAAGAACAAACTACCTAAAAAGAATATGCTGATTGCTAAGCAAGTGGTTGAAAGGCAAAACTGATAAGTCCTGCATTTATTCTTTCTCTTTGTTGTTTAATTCTGTTTTTCTTTCTTTTTTAAACATTAAATGATCATTATTCTGTCAGTATGCTTTTCTTTACTCTTACTAACTGATTACTAAAGCCGGTTGATTTCCTGGTGTGATGTGCAATTCCAATGCGTATTTTCCTAACTGCTTCGTCATTTACAAACCAAGTTTTACTTTTACTTGAGCTTTGCTCTGTGTGGAACAAAAGGAATATGGAAAGAGGTGAATTGAGTTTTATCTTCTGACTTTTTAAAATAGAGAATTAATCGTTATTGACTGTGTATTGTGTCTCAGAATTTTATGTAGTAATTTTTTCTTGGAAAAGATCTTTATTTTTGATTTTTTTTAAATGATCAAATAAGATAATATGCAACTTATCTGCTTTTCAATCAAAACATCTTTTGACTAAGTGTTTCAAAAATATGCCTTCTGATGTGGGGTTTAAGGTATGCCTTGTGATTTTTAAATCTATTTATCTATTTATTTTGTTTAACATTTTTTTTTTCCTTGGTGGGGTCAATACAGGCATCCTAATGTGGTGATCCTCCTGTTTGTTTTGTTTTCCTATTATTTGTAGTGAAACCAGACACTTTAGTGCCAAGTCCGACAACCCAACTAACCTCCTCTTTCTTGTATCATCTTTGTCCCCCCCCCCCCTCCTCCCCTTTCACATGATGCCACAGGTGATGAGATCCAGTGGCAGTTTTTCCAGGGCTTGTTTGAGTTTGCCATCTACGGAGGTCGTGTTGACAACGTGTTTGACCTCAGGGTCATGGTCTCCTACCTCCAGCAGTTCTTCAACGGCTCGGTCATCTCCCAGCAGAACAAAAACAAAAGGCTGGGACCACTCAAGATACCAGGATCTACCAACATTAGGGTTAGCGACTGTTTTTCTGTTTGCAGAGAAGAGAGAGAGAGAGAGAAAGAATCTAGCACTGTCTGTGTGAAGTTTCCTGTTTATCATAATGTAACTGCCTATTCATAGGAAAGCCTTACTGAGATCAATACTGGGGGGGGGGGGGGGGGGAGGGAGAGTGAAGATATATCGTTGTGGAGAGCTTTTCCTCATTTCTTTTAACTTGTGTAAGTTATGTATGGGTTGTTTTTTTTGCATTTTTCAACATTTAGAATTTGTAATTCAACAAAAATATTACTCGAACACATGCATCTGATAATACAGAATAAGACACTGGATTTTTTTTTTTTAGTTTTCAAATTTTGAGCTTATACATCTGAACAGCTAGCCAGCAATATAATGGTGGTGTTACCACGCAGGCAGTTTACCAACTGGTAAAAGATATTTCTGTGCTTGCTTCTTGTGCATTTGATCCTCTTTTTTTCTTCTCCTTTCACACATTGCGTCTTTCATACCACAGCGGAGCACAATCTTTGATTAGAAATATTTAATGGTAAAATTGTCCATCTCTCACTTTAAAAAATTTTTATCCAGGACTTTGCTGATGTCATTGAAAGTCTACCAGAGTTTGACCGGCCATCCTACTTTGGCCTACCAGAGAACATAGAGCGTTCGACACAGCGCAACACCAGCATGCAGGTCATCACCCAGCTACGCGTGCTGCAGCGATCTGACGCCAAGGCCAGCAAGTTTGACAAGGAGGTCTGGGCCTCCGAACTGGGACCAATACTCAACATGTGGAAGAAACTCAATCAGGTGGGTGTAGGATTCGAACGAACTCCATGAGCTTCATTTTTGTTTCTGCAATATGGCAGTGGAATTTTGTTAAATAGATATAGGCCTATAGTCCAAATTATCCCAAATGATCACCCATTGTTGAGGGAAAAAGCAGTTGTGTTAGACACGCGGACGTCTTGGGCTATATCATCATAACAAATGCAAAAGGGGAAGCTGGAAGTGTCATTTGTGCAGATGATTGTCTTAAACAGATGGCCATTGGGGTACATTAAACTGTAGTTGCAAGTACTCACACTGAGTTACTCAGAGCTGAACTTTAACCTGTGAACATTTCTTCACTTATGAACTTTGTACTGTTACTTGGAATTTGACAAGTTATTCTCTTTACCCTAGCACTGTCTCTTGTACTATGACTAGTACATTTTTTCTCCGTTATATCGGCACTAAGTTTTTGTGTAGGTTTCCTTTTATAATACCATTTGACCTTTGACCTCTGTAGGTTTTCATTGATATTGTTATCTGACCTTTACCCTGTGTACCTTGTCTTC